GTGTGTGTGTGTGTGTGTGTGTGTGTGTGTGTGTGTGTGTGTGTGTGTGTGTGTGTGTGTGTGTGTGTGTGTGTGTGTGCGCGCATGCTGTGTGGCGTGTGTGTGTTGTGTGTGTGTGTGCGTGTGTGTGTGAACGCTCACGCCACCACCCATCCAAAGCCTTCACGCTCCCACGCGCGAGCCCCCACCAGCAACAGCAAAGCGACGAGCAGCCGCCCGCACCCCGGACCGAACGGCATAAATAAGACAAAAACAAAACAGAGGAAAGGGAGAGGAAGAAGTCTATGGTCCTGTGTCAACGTTGCCAGATTTCCATATAAATTGCCCCGTTGTTTTCCCGCCGAACTTGCGTCAGGTTAATTCGTTGACTCGAAAGGTATCTCTCTTTCTACTTTACTCAGGCTGAAAGGGAACTCGGAATGCTGTTAGCATGGAAAGGAGGCGAATTGAAAGAAGGTGAAAGGGAGGGCTGAGAGGAAGGGGAAGGGGAAGGGAAGGGGAAGGGGAAGGGAGAGGGAGGGAGAGAGGGGAGAGGGGGAGGGAGAGGAGAGAGGAGAGAGGGGAGAGGGGAGAGGGGAGAGGGGAGAGGGAGAGGGGAGAGAGGAGAGAGAGAGAGAGAGAGAGAGAGAGAGAGAGAGAGAGAGAGAGAGAGAGAGAGAGAGAGAGAGAGAGAGAGAGAGAGAGAGAGAGAGAGAGAGAGAGAGAGAGAGAGAGAGAGGAGAGAGAGAGAGAGAGAGAGAGAGAGAGAGAGAGAGAGAGAGAGAGGAGAGAGAGGAGAGAGAGAGAGAGAGAGAGAGAGAGAGAGAGAGGAGAGATGGAGAGAGAGAGAGAGAGAGAGAGAGAGAGAGAGAGAGAGAGAGAGAGAGAGAGAAGAGAGAGAGAGAGAGAGAGAGAGAGAGAGAGAGAGAGAGAGAGAGAGAGGAGAGGAGAGAGAGAGAACAGAGGAGAGAGAGAGACAGAGGGAGAGAGAGAGACAGAGGGAGAGAGAGAGACAGAGGGAGAGAGAGAGACAGAGGGAGAGAGAGAGAGAGGGGAGGAGAGACAGAGGGAGAGGAGATGGAGATAGAGAGAGATGGGGAGAGAGAGATGGAGATAGATAGATAGAGATAGAGAGAAGAGGAGAGAGAGGAGAGAGAGAGAGAGAGAGAGAGAGAGAGAGAGAGAGAGAGAGAGAGAGAGAGAGAGAGAGAGAGAGAGAGAGAGAAGACAGACATCAAGAGCAGCCGCAAGTATGAGGCAGTTAAAAAAAAAAGAGAAAACTTCCAATTTCCGCTCAAAATAAACCTCTCCCGGTCGGAAGTGACTTCGTTCAGAACCGTTGGTCCAGAATCAAAGAAAACGGAGTGCGGTGACCTCCCCGCGCACCCGACATCCTCGCGTGTGTGTCTGTGTGTCTGTATTTTTGTCTGTATTCGTATGTGTGCACGTGCTTGTGCGTGTGGGTGAGCACATCTATAATCTGGCTGAAGAAAAAGCGTAAGCCTAAACCGCGAGGGGAAGGGATAACGTGCCCAAAAAACGCTAAACAACCAAGAAATAACTTCCATGTTTAGCGTCGCGGACACACCGTATGAGGCCACATGCGTCAGCCCGGGGATGTGCGGCGCCGCGGTTCTGAGGAATCCCAGACCACAAAACGGCTGTCACGTGACTCGCTCCTTGCTGATCCTGAAGGTCCTAGAACCTTTGCGTCTCGGGATCGAAGCCTTCGGGTTCCCTACGACCGAGGCCTCTTTCTCTTACATGTCTGTGTCTCGACCAAACACTTCTCCCTTTCTCCCCTTCTTTCTCTCTTTCTCTCTTTCTTTATCTATTCATTTCTCTTTCTCACACAGGTACACCAAACACAGAGAGGCAGGCAGACAGAGCACAAACCTACACCAGACACAGACCGACAAACAGATAGACAGAAACCCACACCAGACATACAGACAGACAATACGACAGACAAGAGCTACACCAGCTACATCAGACATACAAATAAAGCTACACCAACAAAGCAGGCAGACAGCCAAAGTTTCACCAGACATACAACAGACATACAGACAGACAGCCAAACCAGTGGACGCCAGACACACACCCTACAGACAAGCACAGACAGCCTGTCCTCGGTCCCGGAGGCTCGTAGGACAGCAGGTGTTGGTAGCGACGGACGCGACGGTAAGCCAAAGCCCAAGTCAGAGTCAAAAAGCCGCAAAGCCAAAGCCAAAGCCAAGCCAAAGCCAAGTCAAAGCCAAAGCCAAAGCCAAGTCAAGTCAAAGCAAAGCCAAAGCCAAAGCCAAAAGCAAAGTCAAAGCCAGCCAAAGCCAGCAGCGTGACGAAGCGTGACGGACGGCGGAAGCTTCCCGGCGGCCGGCTTCCGAGTCGGCAGGACGGGCAGATGTTCCCCGCCATTAGTACCGGCTGTTCGATGTCACACCGTGTGTGTGTGTGGGGGGGGGCGTGTGTGTGTGTGTGTGTGGTGTGTGTGTGTGTGTGTGTGTGTGTGTGTGTGTGTGTGTGTGTGTGTGTGTGTGTGTGTGTGTGTGTGTGTGTGTGTGTGTGTGTGTGTGTGTGTGTGTGTGGTGCGTGCGTGGGGTGGTGGGTGGGTATGTGCGTGCGTGCTTGCGTGTGTGCGCGTGTGTGTGTGCGCGCACGCGTATTCGGAATGCGTGTTTTGAATAATGCTATGTGACTTCCTTCTGCACTCTATGTGTGTGCGTGAGTATGAATGTGCGCAAGACATCCCTCGCTTCCGGAGAGTCCCGATCCCTCCTCGGCCAATTACCTTCGACATGGCTGCCTCGCCCGGCGCCGCTCTCGCTCCTTCCCGCCCCTCGGATTCCCACTCCGAAGCGATAACAGCTGATCATATTTACACTCACCAATAAGGCTTACCTCATAACAACGCAACAACAATCAATGTAAAACAACCATAAAAGCCAGCGCGTGCAAGAACGGGGAGGACGCCCGCCCGCGCCTCGACCTCGCCCACGCCCACGAAACCCGCCCCCGCCCCAACCCCCCTTTCCCCGGGCGCCTCCGAAGCAGAGGAAATCTCTCGCTCTTTCCTTCCTTCTTATCAGGCTTTTCCTCTTGTATCTTCATTTCTTCCTTTTCTCTTGTTTTTTTCTTCGCTTGCTCTTGTTTTATCTTTTTCTCCAAATGTCGCCTTTTTTCATTCTTTCTCGTCTTTGTTTCCTGTCCTTTGTGGGTTTCTTTTCCTCCCTTGTTCTCTTTCTCTTTCTCGATATCCCTCCTTTCCATCCACTCTTTATTCTTACCTCCATCCCCACTCCACCCCCCCTTTCCCCTCTTTTTCTCCCTCCTCTTTTTTCTCTCTTCCCATCTCCCTTTCTCTCTCTAACTCTCCCACCTTCTCTTCTCCTTTTCTCT